CCATAGGAGAAGGTAAAATCAAACCTGTTTTGTAATGTCAGAGACTATATATAGTTTACTACTCTAGTTTCTGGGATATGAACTGTCTGAAAGGATACTCAACAGAATATATTTAGACTGCGAACCACTATGCACTGGTGCAAAATTTAAATTGGAGCATATGACATCCTTCTGTTGAGTTCCCACAAAGCCTGGAAAGACAGTGAGATGCTCAGAAATTTTCCAATCATCTATTTTTCTAAAATTCCCAATCCTTCATAATGGTTTACTACTTTCAGTGATTATTTTTTTTATTTTTCCCGTCTGTCCACCTTTCTGCTAGTACTCCATAGCAGTCTGCACAGAGCCTGCCAAGAATCTGGACCCAAGGATAGTAGTTTAGGCCTCCGCAGTACACAGACTGCCCCAGAGCCTGGGATCCCAGATCTGGTCTGCTGAATAGAGGAGTGACTTCCAAAGTAAACAGGACCCTGAACTGCAAGTGTCAAGGCCTGGTCTCCATCAGGCCTATCCCAGCTGCCCTATAATCCAAGCATCAAAAAACAATTAAAAAAAAAATATCAAGCACACAAAACAGAAGACAACTGTTCAAAGAGAGATTAAAATATAGGTAATTGTCATGCAGTACAAGACATTAAAAAAAATAATATACAAAGGTCAAGATGTGAACTAAGAGTACCTGAGGAATTCCAAATAACCCTACTCAGGACTCCCAGAAGCAATAAGTCTGAGTAGCAAAATCAGCAAGATGTTGCCCCGAAAAATAAGAGTGGAATGTACACCCCCTACCACAAACAAGAAGTAGGAGAGGAACACCAAGATTAGCTTATGTGAAGGACTGACTACGTGACTTCAGGTATCTCATTAAGTGGCCATGTCCTAAAATAAGAGTCAGCTCCAGCAAGCCAGCAGGAGAAAGAGAGTATCACCACCAGGGTTAAAAGGATTGATGGAGCTGAACATCAAAACTGTTCAGCTTATGGAAAGGAAAAGCCTGAAGGAAGAAGTGTAGGCAACTCGAGCTTCAGGAATATGTTAAAGCACTCCTGACACTGCCTCTCCTAGCAAAGAGTCCAATTAATTTCAGAAACACAAAATGCCTCATCTTACTGCTTGAGCATGAACTACACCCTCCACTATACATCTGAGCAGTAACACAAATTTCCAAGCAATCTGTAAACATACTCAGGCCACTGTTTACAGAGCTGCTACTGTTATGAGTCCTTTTATAACACCAGGATCAGCTGAGCCAGACACTTACTTGAGTACAAGCAGGCAGATCACCAAGTACTATGCCAGAGACTGCAGTCAAACATGAAAACAGGTTCCATACCACAACCACTGAAATCAGAAGTGTACATACATCAGATCTTGCTGGAACAGGCTCAAACCCAATTTACAGGCTGCCATTCTACATGGGAGACAAAGGCTCTTACTAGGGTTGATATTACATTTACAGATTAGAGCAGTTCTCACCAATTTTAGTAAGATCTGCATGCATAGTCCAAAATACTATTTATACTTATATGCTTCTCTGATGGTTGTATCCTCCAAAAGCATCCTTCCCTTTATCATGTTCCATGAATTTGAGTGCTAGCTTTGTGAACAAAACAAATAATTATTTTCCAAGAGATAAACTTAATGAGTTTGATAAACTGGCTGGAGTGATGGAATCCTGTGCAAGACATCCAAAACAAAGTTACTGTTGATTCTTGGCTCACTGAGGACTAGGAAAACCAATAAATCAAACTAAATCTAAAATAGTTTTTACCTGTGGACCTTAAAGTGTTTTCAGAAGAGAAGTACCGTTATCACTAGTTTTATAGAAAGGGAAATTAAAGCAATGAATATGAAAGAATTACTCAGTCACCCAGCAGATTAATTACAAAGAAACAAGATATTCTGGATTTCTACAGCCTTCATACTATTGCAAAATACTGATTTGCACAGAGCCAAGCCACAGAATGCCATGTAGACAGATAACTGCAGTACTGACATTTTTCCCCCCATAAAACACAAGTCCAAAAAATCCTGGATCATTTGCCTCGATGGTTCTAAAGCCACCTTCTGTAGTCCTTCCTGAAATATCTTTCATTTGTACTCCTCCAGCAACAGGCAAAAGAAAATTACATCTATTTTCAGGTTGTTCAATATCTTTCTTTAACAAAAAACTGAATATCAACAATTTAAACACATCACTATTTGTTCAGCATAAAGAACAGTTGAGTAGTATATTCAAATTAATAGGTCAAAATCTTTTCCTGCTATGTTGCCATTAATGGACAGTAAATCATGTGGCCACAGGGGTATGAAACATATCGAGTGTTCTGAGACATTGTTTCTTATGTAAGAAGTGATAACAAAAAAAAAAAAAATATTGCACTCTTAGCTATATTAAATCCACTGCATTACATTATATTAGATGAATTTAAGGCTTTGGAATAATATCGTACTTGTTGAAATTAGTAGAAATTTTGTCCTTTTCTTCAACTGGGCCAGATCCTGGTTTATTACTGTTGATTTAGTTCATCTACTCCAGTGCGTCTTTAAAGAACAAAGATGATTACAAATATAAATTCTTTAGGAAAGCCCCTTAGAGCTATTGTTGAACAGAATACATGAAGAAATCCTTTCTTCAAAATTTTGAAACAGAATGCTCTTAAAGACCACAATAATCTGATCCATTCTTATTTAAAACACAAGTCCTGCAATTGTATTTTTGTTATTTACTTGAACATTATTATACGTACATGGCATTCTTTTTAAGGTTGCTTTTCTGCTTCTGTCTGGATGGTAAAGGTTTTTTCAGCAACTCAAAGTAGGCAAATGCAAACAAAGCAAACAGAAACAGTGTTTCCCTAGACTTCCTACCATTGTAGTAACTGAAACTTAACTGCACAGGTAGCTTTAAAACATAGTGTGGTTTGATGAATAGCTCACAACTGTAGAAAAGCAGATTCCTGTTCTTTTTTCCACCAGTGCCATCTCTATGTCTCTCTCCTCTTGCAGGGTCTGTGGTCTGTGGATCAGTTGTTAAGCTTTCAGAGACAGACTCTTTCACTTTGTTTCCTCAGACCCTTGCACAATGGGGTTCTGATCTCACAACTTTTAAGTGCTACCACAGAGCACACGTTTGAGGCAGAGGGCCCACTGCTCAAGTTGATTGCACTGTTTTTACCACAGGTTGAATGGGCTCACGCAGAATTTGGCTCCTCATTAGATTGCCTCAGTGTGAGCCTGCCCAACAGATTCATTGTCTTAAAACTCTCAGACACATGACAACTAAGGCAAAAAACTGTAACAACCAACCTCTACCTAATTTGAATGGTGGTCTGGCATCCTACACTGCAAATATGCCACCGAAAGTAAGTTTTAATATGCTAAGGCTCTCACAAAAAAAAATAAATGTATTCAAAGGCAAAGACTTCAATCATCATTTCAGAAACACCTCCTTGACATCAGCAGGTGTTTTGCAAGCCAACAGACTGCACAACCTGGCCGAGAATGTGAAACACACCTAGCACTCCACATTGGTTGCTGCGCCTTCTAGAAAGTTTTTACTTTCAAACTAGGCTCACAATAAAACACTAAGGAGTTCCTTACCGTAAATCTCTCTACGTAATCTGAAACACAAAATCCTCCCATGCTCAAACGAAGGGATCTGTGCAGGGAAGATTCTTGATATAAAGTTCCCATCCTGGTTGACTTGTACGGCGGTCACCCAGGTAGCCTGCAGCCTTTTACTGAATAAAGCTGCACAGTCTCCCTGGATCTTGCTAGAATTCTGCTTGTGTGATAAACTAGGCATTTCATCTTATCTAACACTGCACCAGGCATTTCAATCATTTCACTCCCTTATCAGCAGTACTAAGTTCTATCCGTATCCCAGCAGCTCACTTCCTGAATTACTGATAACAGCTACTGTAAGGCACAGAAACAACAGAAGATGACAGCCAAATCTCTTGAGTCACTAAAGAGTCCCTTTGCATTTCTCTGTTCTTTAACTTATTTTTGTCCAATTTAACTTTGCTTTAGTTGTAATTTAAGGACAGTATGTTTGCTTCAGCCAAGCAGTGGCAAGACTGTCATTTAGCTGCTGTTTTGGTTTTTTTTTTTTTTCCAGTGACACTGATTACTGCTGCAGGACACTTGCTTTAACGTAACATGATTATTATACATGTGGACATCTCTTTTACTTCCAATTTCTTAAGCATAGGAACAAAGAGAACAAAAGAATGGACAAAAAATATTCGTCCTCCATCAGAATTCACATATCTATCTATGTCTTCAGGCGCTGTTTCTACAGTCTGATGCTATGCACAAAGTCATTCACTTCAGTCTGTATAACACCTTACAGTCAAACAAAAGTACTCACACAAGTGTATGTTGGCAGGAAGTCCATGTAGACGTATTTGTGAACCCCTAGATTTAGAATGGGTTACATTTTTTTTTCTACCTACACAGTTAAATTAATAAGCAGACATAATGCACCAAAATTATGTTCTTGCTCAAACATTTGGCCCTCAACTAATTAATTCCTTTTTATTTTGCCCTGTGTAAAATACACATTTCTAAAATTGAGTTCTTACCTATAAGATTATGTCAGTGGAGTACAAATATAAAAAGAGAACAAACAGCAAGTTGCTGGATGCCCTAAGAAGGAAACGAAGTTCTGGAGAAGTAGAAGCAAACCTACTTTCAATTTTCATCTGTGCTGTGCCTTCCCTTTCCACTCTGCCAACAAGCAGCAGTAGAATTAGCTCTGTTTGTTTACTACCTACAAGTGATCTAACATTAACCTGACTCACATCGGGCATCGGTATACAAAATGACAGCCACTCACTATGGACCTTGGAGCAGATGGACAAGCATCTCAGAGAGCAGTATCTGGGCTTAGCATGGACCATGTCCTCACTGGTTAAATCAACACAGATGCGTGTTTTACCACAGGATGAGTGCATACGCATTCTACAGCAAGCAATGAAGATAAGATACTGTACCTTTATCATTACGATCTAAGAGATGTCAGGTCCAGAAGTGTGGGTATAGATCTGGCTACCCCTCTCACAGCAAAAATGAGTGCTTTGATTCCACTTGTGTTTGTACAGCAAGATAACCAATATGCTGTTAAAAAAAACAAAATAAAACCAATGTGAGTACAGACAAAACCATTGAATTAAGGTGAATGAGGAACTCCTGCAGGGCAAAAGCCAAGCCAGAGATGGCCATACTTGCTGTGCTGCAAGTATTTTTTACTCCCTGGCCGAGAATATTTTTCAGGCCATTTAACAAACAAGTGAAAAGGCCAGGCGTTGCCTAGGGTTCAGGATGATTTTACTGCAGCTCACAGAGATGAGATAGTTCTACCAAGAGGTTAGTAGTCTAACACCCTGGTAAAGGGACATAGGCTGACCAAGATGCTGGACTTAGGCCTCCAGAAATGTGAAGCCAGTCTCAACTGCCAGACTCCTGTGTAAACTTGATCTCTGTGCCCTGACTTTTCCACCTGTAAAACTGTGTTAAACTCTTTCTAGCTCACAGAATATTTGCAGAGCTTTACAATCTCTTACTACTATTTTCCCTTTTAAAAGGCAAAACCAACCCATAAATCCTAGGTCAAAACTGCCCTCAAAATTTTAAGACTCATCAGCTAACTCCCTATAGTGGTATAGAAAAAGTGATGTCTTCGGAGCAGTAAGCAGTGAGACTGCTGCTGAGCCATTTTGCCTGGACAGGGTGAGACTGTTGCAGGTTTTTTGGCAGCACCTTGAGCAATATTCCTTGCATTTGCACAGGGAACATTATCTAGCCACCCTCAAAGGGAGAGGAGACTGTCCACATGGGCACTGAGCTCTTGAACAGGGCCTTAAGCTTTTTTCTTAACATGTAACTGATCATATGAATTAAAGACCTCTATTCTAGACTCTAAGAAAACAAATACTACAGCTATTCAAAAAGTGCAGTTCTTAATAGATGAGTCAGGAGACCCCTAGACCCAGGGGAGGGGAAAAAAATTTTTAATACATTTTTGACTTATTCCAATAGCACAAATAATCATGTTGCTACTCCAGATTTAATAAAGAGACTCTATTACTTAATGTGGCAGCAGAGGCACATACAGCATGTAAGCACCATGCCATGGGGAAAAGCTTGCATGACAAAGAGAATCCTTTAGGAAATTTGGCAAGCACTCCGGAACAAGCAATGCTCAGCCTGCAACCTTCCATTGGCAGATCTAAATACAGAACTGTAGTACAAACCAACACGTTCCTGCAGTATTTTCATTAATTAATACTAAGAATATAATTATTATGCTGATGAGCTTCACCAACTTCACCTTTTCTGCATTTTAGCTTCTGAAAAAAAAAAAAATTGAGCTTTTCTCCTCCCCATTTTCATTTCAGATCTTACAATAGTGATTCTGGACTGTGTTTTCAGAGAAGTATTAAAAGCAACAAATCAGTAGCACCTATATAGCATTAAATACACAACAAGGAAATAGTCCATTTTTCACAAAGTTAAATGTATTGCTGTGGAAAGAAAACAGGCAATGGACACAGGACTACATTTTCTTCAGTACTAGGGAAAAGTCTTGTGGATTTTACACATAGGAAAAAGAGTTTGGTGCCTTGCGCTGAAATACTAAGCGCAAAAGACAAGGCAAGTGCTCGCTTTGAGTATTGGTATTCCAGTATAGGCTTTGTAGATGTCACAAGACATCATTTACTTAGAGAACAAATGCAAAGCTTTTCCAGAAATCATGCATGTAACATCCAACAAATGAAATCAAGATCAATGTTAGTAGTATTTTAGCTTTTAGAACAGCTCTTCAAATCTGCTATACTTAGACTCCGAAACTCCTCTTCCAAACCAAGAGAGGTGTTTGACAACTAAATCAGTGCATTTGGAGTGAAGACCAAGAAAAGGAGTAAGATAATATCAAGAGGCTATTAATTATGACTAGCTTCCCCAGCCAGCTAATGACAGATATGACAACTCCTGCACTAACTGCTGAGTAAAATGAGGGGGCTCAAGCATTTTTCAGGTGACTTCTCACCTCCCAGCATCAGTTTCCATGAATTAGGAGGAGGTGCATTGATCCATAAACACATTCTATTTTGAAGGAATGGATAATCTAAACATCCTTGGCTGAAACTGTTAACATGGCAGTTAATACAGAGTATCTTCCTTCCTGAAAATAAATAAGGAGAAGCTTTAGTCCCTTGGCACATTTCTTTCACACACACTTCAGAGTTATTAAATTACTTAAGTATCTCAGAGCCTTTTTGTCATGAATATTCAGGGACAGGGAGCTACTAACACTGTTGTCAGCCAGTTTAACTCATGACTATGCCCAAAACATATAATTGAAGGTTCGCAGCTCTCTTCCAAAAGGGATTTCCATGCCCTACCAACAACTTACCCTTTCATTACGCTTCCATCCATGCAACAACCTAGAACTGAATGCCAGCATACAGGGGTGTTCCCAGGGAAACTCACACAGAATCAGCAGGCAGAGTATTGATACCAGAAATGTTCAAGTCCCCTTCTGTATCTGATCAGGACAAGTACTCAGGAGTCTGTGAAGACTTTGACTGATGAGGTGTTTTCTAAAAGCAGTCAATTCCTGGTTGTCTCTGTGCCAGTATCAGCACATTTCTAGAGCTGCTCCACTCACAATGGATTAGTATGAAAGGCCAGGTCTGAAAGCCTCCCCACCTCATTAATATTTATTTTATATTTTAAAACTCATTTACATAAGGACTCACCCCCAAGGCTAGAAGCCTCATAAATTATATTCTATTTTTCAACCTGAAATATTCACTCCTATTGTTTCAGAAGGAAAACACTGGCAGAAACAGCTGTAGGCAGGTTAATTCTGTTTAAAAGAATAGTACCTAAAGCCTTGCTTTAACTTCATTAGCCCACAAAGATTTGCACTACAACAAGTCATGCCTGCAAAGCACAAACACAACTGTCAGCAGATTTTCATTCTTTCATTATTCTGCTTTTGTTCCATCTGCCAAAGCGGGTGGTTATAATGTCTGCAGCTGAATAAACTCACTAAAGCCAACCTACCTAGTGAACACTTCAAAAATAGCTACAATCACCATGAAAACAGAGAGACAAAGTGACTCAGCATTTACTTTGTCTCCTGGCAAGCATGAGTAGATGATTTTGCATTCAAAGCATATCACATTACATAGCAAACCTGGCTTTGATGGTCATTAAAAAAGTCCAAAGGATAACAGATTCAAGCCTTCTCTGTAAGGATGAGGGCAAATTTTCAGGTAGTAGCCTTTTACATCTGTGTAGCACAGAACTTTGTTACGCAGGTCAGCCCTACAGACACCAACAAACAAATCTGGGATGCTGAAGCAGACAGCATCTGCACCCCTCTAGACTCCACTAGTGAAGGAATAAACAGCAGAAGGAAAAAGAAAGAGGAATTTTTCTAGTTTTACCTTATTCTCCTTTGCAAAACATTTGTTGTAACACAGATTTACTGTTCAACAGCCTCTTAGTTTTTAACAGAGAGGTAACCTTTTGCAAAAACCTGAAACCAAAACAATTTTACTTCATTCCTCCACTTGCCCTCAGAAAAGCCCACAGTAATAAGAAGAGTGGATCAGTCATGTTTCCCAGAAGATGGGATGAGTAGGCTGTCACTTGTACTGGATGACAGATTTTTATCAAGCTCCTACTTTGCACATGCACTATTTTGTACTTTTTATAAAAGAATTAACTCATACTTTCTTGCCTACTCTGAGGATGCCACAAGCACAGTTGGTAATTACAACCTCTCATTTCAATGGTTCATTAACTAGAAAAGACATCATTTCGGTAAACCTCATAAAGCACACATGCAGCACCAAAATTATACATCCATTGAATATACATGTGGAAACCAGATTTACAGGATCCTTTACATTTGGGTTTGAAATTCAGAGGTAAGTATTTTAGATGCATTTTAACTTTAGCAGTCTGGATTGCTGACTTTTTTTTTTTTTTCCTCTCTAAATCAGTGTCCACTAACTAGGTTCATTCTAGTCTTCAAAAACCTTTTTTAAAAGATGTTTCCTCATTTCGAATTGGCCCTGAAAAACAAGGCTTAACCCTCTTGATCCCATTCCCAGTGATGGCAGGGGATCTTGTTCATCTTCCACATTATGTTTGAATCTGTTGCCCATGAGAAAAGCCCAGTATACTCACAAGCAAGAATACAGATAAGGAAGGCCAAAGAACACAGTGGGGAAAAAAAAAAAAAAACACAAACAAACAAACAAAAAAAAACAAACCCAACAATATAGCCTCTGAAGAAATAATTTCTCAAACCACTGTAAAAAGTAAAAAGGAACTGCTCAAGTGTGAGAGCAGCTTGATCTGTATTATCCTTACTTCTCCTACAAATGCAGCACCTACCTAGTCACTTCTCCCTTGTTCTCCAAATTGCCTTGCTCCTCCTCACATCTCCAGAAATCTGAGACACGCGCATTGTTTTCTCCACCATGATATCCTACAGGCCTCCATTTGTCTCTCCCAACTGCCTTTACACACTCATCTTTAATTCTCATCATTATACCCTTCTCCGTTGTCTAGCTAAATCTAGTTTTCCTTTCTTCTACCTTCACCATTCCTAGCCTGATCACTCTGGTCCCTGCCGCCTCCTCATATCTGGAGTGAGCTGCAATTACCTTCCTCCCTTTGCTATATAAGGAAACTCCACTGCAGCTATAACACTGGCTAATAATGAGAACTGCATGCCTGAAATCCCAGAAATTGAGATTAATGTAATCATCATGCAATAACAGTCTCCCAGTGGCCTTTTAAGTCATTGTGCTTTTGAGTATTACTGCAGTCATAAAGAGTGCAGGCTGTCAAAAATCCCTTAAAATATCACAGCTTGATCAGCAAAGAAGCAGCAATAAATTGACAAACAGCAAACAACAAACCCAGAAATAATTAATCTAATATAATCCCAACCCACCTCTTAGTCTCACAAAATATCTATATGTAATTTTTGTGACTTTCTCAGATTCACCATGTTTAAGTAATCAATCTTCTTGTTTTCCCATGAATGCATTTGTAACATAGACATTCAATATAGAATGAATCCCCTGCTCTTTTCCATTTGCTGTATTTATTCTTGATCTTTTTACAGTTGGTAGCAGTAGGATTCTGGTAATTTTGTTTTCAAGTTTTAGTAATACATGAACAATCTAATAAAGATTTTAAAAGAGAAAACATGAGACATATTTTCCTATGTACCATTGCCATCAGTCTCAAAATTAGAATTGCTGAACAGTATCTGTTTCCTCTTCCAAACTTCGTACTCCTTTAACCTTTTTTTTTCCCAGAACTACATTTAGATGCATACGCATGAGCTGTACATAAACGTGAACTTCGCTGTTGCTAAGTAACTGTGTGCCAGCAGATAGCACTGTGAATGTTGTAAGCAACATCATACAAGTTGCCAGGTTCATAATTTGGTCAGTGCCAAGAATTGTAAGCTAAATATTTTGTATGAGATTCTCAATCTTTTGAAAAACAGGCATGAACAACCATGAAAAAAAAAAATACACTGAGAAATTACTAGACTCATATGTAATCCTACACACTGCTCCTTCCCCATCAGGGGAGTTTGGTATTTCTTCAGAACACAGCTATTCATATTTATATAGATTAGGTTTCTTCCTCAATTTCCATTCAGCCCATTATTCACTGCTCTGAAGCACTACTTTCAAAACATTTGTCTATATCAGTGTTAGAAAGACATGACCATTTTAATTATTCAGTTAAATAAATAACTTGTTTTAAAAGTACCTTCTTGGAAACCTTTCATTGGATGTCAAGACTTGTCATAGTAAAAAAAAATGAAACAAAACAAAAAAACAAACAACCCACCCCCCTCTCCAAAAAAAAAAAAAACACACAAAAATCCACAAACCTAAAACTAAACTCTAACGCTCACCTTCAAATCTCAGGATGGATTTGTCCATTCAGTTAGGTAGAGAATTCTACCTGTACAATTTTTATTTATACATTTTCTTAATTTATTTTGTTTCTTCTTTTTCAACAGAATTAAGAGGTAAAACTACAGGATCAGGCTCTGCATCAGTACTTGGCCAAGACTCGATATATCTTAATGTCTTAAGCATTTCATAACTTATTGTAGCATTTTTCATTCTTTCGAATTGCTCTGTCTTAAAGAACAGAGAGATTTGTTACTTTTTCAAGAGAACAGGAAGTAATCATTGTCCGCCACTGTTTCAGAAAGCTGAAGTAAAAAAAACAATTATACCTTAACCCTCATTCTACAGTAACATAAGTTCCTGCATGAATTTTAAGAAATAGAGCCTTGCATTTCTAGCTTCATTCATTCAAGGTTACACATCAACTTTTCATAGTTTCAATGCAGTCCTCCAGCTGCCTGTTTCATGCAAAATAAACAGATACTATTTTCAAGAGTTTCTTACACTCATGCTTTTTCTGTAACTTCTGCCTCATGTTCAAGACAACCTGTACTACCTTCAGGACACTCTGTGTGGTTTCACAAGATAGATTTAATACCCAGTGCACCTCTCGTGCATGTTATGACAACACTAGATCCAAAGATTCATGAAGTAAATCTAAACACTAGATCTAGAGATTCATGCTGTTAATAAATGGTATACCTTTAAGAAAATCACCCTTTAATACATCAGAATTATTTTAATTTATTTACCAAAGAGGTAAACTCCATCAATAAACATTACTTTCAAATACATTAGACTACTGTGCAGTGCCAACAAAATCAGTGTTCGGGCTCAGTATCATTTATTCATTTTACTGAAAACTAGAACTTCTGGTTCACCTCTTGCTCCAGCTAGTTCAGCAACCTTCAATGAAACACTTCTTTGCCATTGTTGAGGATCAGGACCTGGGGCCCAGACCACCTACACAGCCGGCTCCAACCATGGACCTCATCATTACACATGCTCGCACATGCACACGCACACACACACACAATCTGCTCCACAACTCCCCCAAATAACGCAACTCTGATCTCAGTCTGAAGGTTTTTCTTTATTAGCAAGATATTTCCAATAAAAATATTCAATAGCTGTTTATTCCAAGACAAAACAAAAACAACTGAGACTTGGAAAATTGCCAGACTATTAATGTTTGTACTCCTGGTATCTGGAACATTCACTGTTCTTAACAGCATTTTATGGTCTTCAACGCTGTCCAGGATTAAAAATAGAATTTATTTCTTAACCCTTATGGCAAAAATAAAGACCAAGTTATGATTAAGAGAAATAATGCATAGTAGTTGACCAAAGGCAGTAAACTTACATTTTTAAGATGGAGTTCAGGTTCCACGTACAAAGCTAAGAAGCACCAAGAAAAGCAGTTTGTGCGGGGTGAGGGGAAGATGAGGGATGGGTAACTGACATTTTCCTGGGGGATATGCTGCATGATGACACCAAATGATTCATAAGAACCATGTTTTGACCTTGAAATTAAACAACTTTGGTGAAAGCAGGATGAGGTTTTCTTCTGGGGGAAAAAAAATACACATTTTTATGGTTTTCCAGTGCCTTCTGCCTAATCAACTTCTTGCTTTTTCCTTAGATTGCACATCCCAATCAACAGTTAGCAGCTATGAGCAATCCCTTTTAAAGTAAGATCAGAATAAAAAAAATAAATAAAAAAACCACTCCACTACATAGATGTACAGATACTTTCAGTTCATTATGAATTCCCAATATCTACTGAAATCTTGCAGTGTATTTCTGCAGTGTCTGATCAACAAAAGGCAGCAAAATTGAGCACCATCTCAAAACTGCTTAATCAGATGCAATTTTAGTGCAGCCAGACTGTTAGAATTCTGTAACTACTACTGAGTTTTGAAAATGACAGCCTAAAAAAGAAGAAACAAAAAGTATTATTCTACTACTTATTAGAGCTGTCTTACCACCACTGCTGCCTAAATGGCAACCTCCAAAAACGATAGACAAATAACTGTGGAAGGCAACATCTTGAAATGTTATGGTTAGATTCACTAGAGGTTATTTGCCAGAATCCACAGTGCGATAAAAAAGTAGGAAACCTACTACAAAACACTGATGACATTGTTAATACTTCGAAGGACAAATTGTTTTTAGACTCACCTGAAAGCATTGGCTAAACTTGTTAACATTTGCTCTGCTGTATCTTCATAATAAACAAGAAACAAGGCACAGCTGGAAATCTATAGAGTGAAACAGTTGCTACTGAAAGCCCAACACCTGCTATAGGTACTGGTGGTCCTGCAGACCAAGCACCCACTAACAGTTGAAGAATGTCTTCAAGGTCAATTTTTTGCAAAAGGAAGCTACTTCCTGCTCCCCAAGACCATTCCATGGTACAAACAAAGGCACTGGAAGTAGATCCTATCATGAGATTTGTTTGAAATACACACTCCTAATCCAAACAAAAACACTTGCATAGATGCACCCAGAGATACAAATTACACCAGTAATAACTGCAGATGTTCATGAATGCAGAGGAATCGTATTCCGGAGAACAGCAACTCGGAAAGACTTTAAGGCATCTTTCTGGTTACACTGATCAATCACAGATTATCAATGCCTTAAAGGTTATCAGTATCTTAAAGAACAAAAGTCAAGCACCATGTCCAGTTAGGCAATAAGATACTAAGCATCCTTATTAGTATAGTCCAAGATACAAGGAACAGACACAGTGCTGCCAGTAGCCTACATCAATCACTGTTTCACTCTTAAAAAAACAACCCAGAAAAACTCAAAAAAAATTAAAACCACTATGTAAAACAAACCCAAAGACCTTGTCTGGGACCTGATACTTGAAGCAAGTCCCCCAATTCTAGTTTCCCTCTCTGTAAATCCTGCTGCCTAACCACAGGGTGATGATAATCTGTGAAGTATTCCCCAACACTTTTCTTCATCTTCAACCATAACGGTATTAGAGTGAAAATAATAGGAAAACCAGAGATGTTTGTAAAATTTGACCAAAGAAAAAGCTTACTCATATAGGACTTCCAGGGGAAGTGAAGAAGAGCTTTCTTAAAACATTTTTTATTCAATTACCAATTGGATGTTCAGAGTTCTTTGGTCTTGACAAATTACTCACCTTTACTAATTTTCACAGCTCAAAGGCTAACATCCCACACAACTGATGAAGCCATCTACTTTCAGTGCAGATAGCCAATAACACCTATTACCAGCATTTTAAGCTCCCCTGCTAGATATGAATGAGTGATGTTCTAAAGAAAAATAATCCTTCAGTGTACTTTCACTGAAAACCGAATACTATGCTCTTCCTAGTACTAATAGTAAGAATGCGTGCGTAGACAGTAACTGTCTTTAGAATAAGGCTGCCATCTAGCAGCAGACTACAGTAAACGCAGAGAAATCTCAATCCGGAATTTGAACTGTGAACCTGCATGATGGTCTGACACACTATTACACAGACCTATAAACACTGGAAGCAGTTCTTCAGAAAAAAAAAGGGGGAAAGTAGTGGCAAAAAGCAGAACTTGCTATATGGTGGTTTATAAACAGACAGTTCTCCAGCACAGTCCTAACCTATTCAGTTCACAACATACAGTTTACCTAGCCTAGTAAGTCAACATGTAGAGGCAGTATAGAGGCAGAATGGTATTTTTGTGGTGGTGATATAATTGATCTTCTTTAAAGTTAATTTAAAAAACTGCAGTCTAATTCACTTTTTCTGAAAGACGACTATTTTTCTGTACAAGGTCTTATGCTACAAAATGCAGTGAAACAAATTAAGTTAGACTGAACCACAAAGACATTCAAAGGCAGGGCCTAAAATCTTATACCGGAACTAGTCACACAAAAAAAATTTTGCATAAGCAACTTCCTGAAGTGTTACCATATTTATTCTTGCTTCTTTGAAACTATGCAGTTCCCAAGAAAGTCAGAGCTGCAGTACACAGAAATTTACTCTCTCATCATTTAGCTGTCACTGACTTTATTTTAATTTCATAGACTGAGAGCCAATACATTTCACAACTATACTCCACAGTGATTTGCCACAGCATTTCATCCATTGATCATATCTAACAACACAAAGAAGGCGCTCTTGAGAGGCCGTCATGTTGATGCCTATTTCACACAATGAAGATGCTTTCCAGTTTGGTCACTGAGTATGTTCCAAGAAATCTGTCTGGGCATACCACTGCCAGAGTTACCGGGATTTTTGGAAGATGCTCAAGTGTCCTGTCTATATAGGAAAGAATGGTTTTTTTCTCGTTTGTGGGAAAAGAAAGCCAGGACTCTTGCTTTGCAAGATCCACTGCCAAAGAAACCACTCTCTCCCTAGGACATTTTCAAGGCCACCTGCTTCCATCACAGCTTTCTCAAAGAAACTGGAAACCAGCAGGGGAAGAAAAACAGCATGACGACAAGTGGGAAAGAGCTGACAGCTGAGAGCTGGGGAAGACAAAGGGAAGAAGTACATAAATAGAATTCAATAACCACTGTTTTGAGAGTATCCACCAGTGAAAGAAAAAACAGCCTCGTGCTTTTGAGAGTTACAAACATATTTTTTCGGTACTTATCAGAAAAAGCATCAATCTATATGTAAAAATAATAGGTTAAATTGGGTCACATCTAACAACATCAACTTCAGTCCTCTGATGATAATTTTAATTCCATGTGCAGAAGCAGAAAGAAATAGATACCTGTAGGAATGCAGGTTAGAGCACCAAACAGACTGCATGAACAGTTCCATTTGTCCCTTCTTAACACAGTAGATCTCATTCTAGCAATAGAAGCAACACAAGCTGGATCATATCCTTGGTTTTAAAATTAGAACTTCCCTTTTTTCATTCTGACTTTAATAACTTACCATGCAAACATATCCTCTATCCTTAAGAGATACTCATCTGTCCTTACTACCGGTATCTGTCACAGGCTACAGTTCTGGAAAGCAGAAGTTTACATGATGTAGGGAAGTAGGTCTTGTGTTCACAATTCCTCATTTACTGGAATAAAGACAAATGTATATTAGTGGTTCAAGTGCATTTCCAAACCCATCCCCCTCATCCAGTGTTAAAAAGGACCCCAATTACTCCTTATCAGTTAAGAATTAAAAAATCACTTTCCACATTTCCTGCTTCTGCTTACAAAGTCTGCATCTGATCAGACCGTTATGGCTTAACTCAAAACTGTCATAGCTTCTTCCTTTAACCAACAACTAATAAACAGTCAGTATTTGTTAGTCTAGCTTTATTAATAAAAATCTCTGCTTCCCTGCAGAGATCAGTTCTATAGCAGAACTTCATTATGTAATTCTCACTATTAAAGTAACATGATGCTGAAAAGCATGAGTAATACCGAAGAAAAACTAAGACATTCAGTTGCATACCCCTTCTTCAGAAAGAGTGAATGAAAGGTGACAAAAAAGCTGTTACGTCAGATTTTATGAACTACCTCCTACACCTCCTCCTTCAGGATTTTACAGGGCTTGAGCTTTTTTTTATCTTGGTAAGACAAAACCTCCATTTATTTACTAAAGTAAGAGTTTTGGCTTAGTAGTCTTTAATAAAGACTATCAATGTTGAATGTCTTCCCAAAACCTATTTCTTCCTTAACAGCTCATTTTTGCATACTCAGGTAGACTTTTGCTTTCGCATTTACGGTCAACACTCCAAAGACAATACTGCTAAGAATTACACTTTTAGAAGACAGACAAAAAAAACCTACTCAAAGTAAAAGGAACTAGCATATCCTCATCTTTTGGAAATATCAGTAAGAAGATGCTGGCTGCCGATCTACATCTCTGATTCCTGCTTCTCTCCCTCTCCAGTAAATGATGGGCCAGGAAAGAGTATGGGAGAAGTACTTACCAGCTGGACAAGGCAGACACCCAACAAATAGCTGTAACAAAACAAGTACTTAGCTCTCAAACCTCAGCAGTCTGACCCCAAAAAGTATATGTGATTTTCAGAAAACACCTCCATGTAACGGAATAATTTTCTAGAGATAATTCTTAAACAATACAAAGTTATAAAGCAGAATAATCCCCTAAGAAGAAACCTCTTTAATTTTCTTCCTATCAGAATTATATCACACCTTTTAAAAAAATGCAAATCTAAAGTCATCCTTAGGATGAATATCATATTTCTAAGAGGATTAAAACCAACACACCTTAAGTATCACAAATGTACTTCATTCCCAGTTCAATAAAATATTGGAATATCAATTTATTAAAAAGTTATGTGAACTGTACATAAGTAAACTGCAATATAGCTGAAAAATCTGAAATATATAATTTTAAAGGAAAATTGTTTATTTCTGAAAATATTTAAAATATTGCATTTCTGGCAGCAAATTTAAAAGAAGTGCTCTGGAATGGGTGCAGTCTCTCTGTGCATTTGTCTAGCATTTGTCTTCAAGGCGTAAAACATATCTGCTTTCTGATTTTTCACAGCACAATCTTGTGAACACTTTCTTTCTGACTTGTAGAGACAAAATTCGATTTCCAAGAACAGCAGCAGAATTTTAACAGGAAATACTATGGTCCTTGCCGGTGCAGACAACACACTTTCCGAGAGTCCATGACACCTTGGAAATATGCTAGCCATTCTGCATATAAATGCATCAGATTGTGCTTACGAGCTATAGAATAAGTCTTTGATTGATAATTTTTCTGTTTATTTCCGCCAAGGCCACTGAAAATACGAAGGCCTTTTCATCTGAAAGGTTAGCATACATGTCAACTTCCTTTTCTTGTTTCTCTGTAGAAGAAAAAAAAGTCACTATTAGAAGCTTTTTCCATTATCCAAAGTTAATGCAAGTTACATAGTAGTTAATAAATTACGTGGAATGGAGTACTGGAATTGAAAAGAAGTTAGACAATGAACTCCTATTCAGAGAGGGATTGAGAGAGAGGAAGAAGAAATGGAGGCACACGAAGGTGTTAGAAGAGTCACAGAATGAGTCATCTAAAAGCATGACTGAGTTTCTGTTCTTTGATGATGAAGAAAGAATGTGTCATTAACATTACATTGTTTCCTGACACAAACGAGTATTCAAGTGTTTCTCCATTTTGGGGGTTTTGTCTTGTTTTGGGTTTTTTGTTTGGTGGGGGTTTTTGTTTATTTGTTTTTTGGGTTGTTTGTTTGTTTGTTTTTGTTTGTTGGTTTGGTTTGTTTTTGTTTTTGTTTTTTTTACTTTTACATAAATACCTCCCATCCTAGAAAACAAAGTTATCTTACAATATCCTCATTAAATATTACATTTCTCCCCCTATTTTACATCTAAATAACAAACCCAAAATTTTAATTACAATGTTCAAGACCAAAGAGCAGATATATGGCAAAAGTCAGGTTCCAAATTTGTCACCATGAACATTTCTGGACCTTCTATACAGCAGACTTTCAGTCTCATCCCAGATAATGAACAATGGTAACACCTCAGTGAGCAGGTAAAAGCCTCTAAGTTCCCTCTGATGATGTTGGCTTGTTTCAATGCTACAGACACACAGCAGAAAGACGTCAAGAAGTTTCCATACTGTAGGGCTCAAGAACACCAGCTAACATAATAGCATATGACAAAACTCATAGAATAGTATGATTTCATAAATATAACTTATGCCAGATCATGATTATTTATATTCCAGTTTAGCTAGCCACAGGTAACTGACACAACTCATTAAAAAACAAAGTGAAACAAAAAACAGCCTAACAAAAAAAAGCCAACCAAACAAAACAACCCAGCTTTGTCAGTAGAAGACCATTCTTGTAGACACAAAGAAGATAGGAATACTTATTGAGCTTTAAGGTTGGTGTCTAGCTGTGGAACTCCATGTCTAACCCAAGTTCCATGGTGTCCTGGACTAATTTACAATCACAACACTATGCTCACCTGACAGACCCCTGTCCCATTAACACACAGACACACAGCACATGCTCTTTTTGCCCACAGCATGCTCTGAGACGCCTAATTCAGCAATGAGTAAGTGAAAGACAAAGCAGCATTGCAAAATAATGGAGAGCACCACGTGGAAAAAAGATCCCAGTATCTCATATCTCCACCTACTCACAGAGTTATTCCTTCAATGGGTCCACATTCACAACATTTTTAGATTTGGCTTCACGTGTGTTACACCTATGGACACCATTCCAACAAACAGCCTCCTCTGTGAAGTCAAGTGCTTGCATTAACTACGTGGGAGAAACTAAAAAAAAACCTTTACCACTGTGTTCTGATTCAATACTGATATAGAGACACACACAGTAACAAAACCCTCTCCTTAAAGATTCCTAGACAACTGAAATCACACACAAGCACACCCTTCTCTGCAAGTACAATTGAGTAGTGAGGGGCCCAGACACACAAAGATGCATCAGTTTTTAATATGAAAACAGAAACTTGCTTAGCAAATTCAGATAATCAAAGCATGTTTGATATTTGGAGTGTAGGGGATTTCTGCTGGCTCCCTGGCTATGCAAGATAATATTCTCTAGTGTACTGAGTTTGAAGTGAAAGCTAAGAAACTGAGTTTCACTTTTAGTCCTACACTGTAGTTCAAGACAAATCAGTTTCTCTATGTACACTCCGTCTGGGTTGCTCCACTTCCTCCCTTCCACCACTTACAAATTAACAATGCTGAGAGTTGTTCTGAGCACAGACACTACACACACCGGTTATTCCACATTAACTTTTTCTATTTTCATACCTAAGCCCCTCCCCTTTTTTCATACTTCGCTATCCAAACAAATCCAGCCACCACCTGAATATGTCAGCACCCAGCAAAAAATACCTTTTTTCCCCACCACCACCACCCCCCCGCTGATTGCTGCTAACAGATTGTAGACTTCTTAGCAAAAGAAAAAAAAATTCTCAAGTTTCCCTTCCCACCTGTCCTCCTAAAGTACTGGCTTGTTCTGAGAGACTTCAGCCTTAAAGAATTGACATCTAGATATCAAACAATATCAGGTATTAACACAGGTTTGCAAGCTTTATGCATTTTTAAGACGATTCCAGTTCTCTTCAGTAACTAGTGAAGAGCTTGCACCTGCATGACGTTTTATGCTGTGCTACTCACAGGATAGCATGGTTTCTACAGACACTACTAAAACTTTCCGCTTCGGTCATATCTGCAAGTAGTTTTGACTCATTGCTCTATTATTAGCAAAAGACTGTCTTACAGAATCACAATACCATATTTGTAAGATGTTAAAAATACTGTCTTTTGCTATACCACTAAAAGACTATTCAGATGAAAATATTCAGTGTTTCTGAAGCATGTCTCTAATCCCCAGATCTCCTGCAATGCACTAGTCACAGAGCCCTTAAAATTGTGATTATGTATACATCAAACATGAACCCTCACAGATTTTGTATGAATTCAAAAAGTTCTGAGATTCACTATCCAAGATAGTAAGTTACTTCCAATCTGCACTTTGGACAAGCAAATGTATGAGTAATACAGTTGAAAATTACTATAGAAAGAAAACTTGGGTCAAGAAATTTAAGTTTTATCAGGATACTAAGATGTATGTATCTTTATAAAGATTCATCCCTTGTTAAGTATCAAGTATGCTTTAGTAAGACTCCAAGCCACTCTTACTGAGTCTCACTTGATGGTAAGCTCTTTCAGAACAACCAATACCACTTCCTCCAGCATGCAAGGGGTTTTTTTGTTTAATATAATCAAAGTTGTTACCTAGATAACAAGGCAGCCTGGGAACCGGTCTAGCTGTGTATCACAGTCCCACACAGTAAAACAGAAAACATACCACCACCATAACAAAATCAGAATCAAATTATTATGAAGTGGTTTTATTTTCAAAATAGATTACAGCTTTTCTAACACAGAAACTAAGTGACAATTTTGACAAGCCAAGCCTACAGGGAGAAGTTCCTGTTTTCCAGAGTCTTCACATGGTTCTGAAACATGCAATAGGAGTATACTCTGGGTCCCAGCACTCTGCCATATCCCCTCAATCTACATCAACTTCCCTTTTCCTACCCCTCCATTCCTTCTTACTAAATCTGCAGGAAAAAATAGCTTATTTTAAAAAGCCCTTTTGCTTCTCCTAGCCTTCTTAATTGCTGTTCAGTCCTGCTGCTCTTTGCTCTAATGTGAGCAGTCATGAAGGATACAAAAGAACTAGTCAAAGGCACAGACATAACTGGGAATAAGCACGCTATGTATGAAAAGAACATGACAAGCAAGGAAGCAGAATTACAGATGTCATGGGTAGTCCTTGAGAATAAAATTTTCACATCTGGGTGGTCTTCAAATAGACAGGTTATCTGCTCTTGCATGCTCTCTATCCTCCTGTTTTTCCATCAGCAAATGCATTAGGCATTGCAAAGGCACCAAGTATTTAACAGCTTTGCAAGCAGTGGCCTCTTTTCAAGTCTTTTGGGGGAAAGAAGAATAGCACGGTCTCCAATGGCAAGTAATGTGTATCCAAAATATCCTAGAAATACATAATAGGCAAGGAAATAGAATACTTCAAGTCTAACACTACACTAATGTCTTGCGTTCCAGAGCTGACTTTCAATACTATGAAGACTGATACAAGACCTACCACACAAGCAATGTGTCACACAAAAATCACCTTAATTGTAGTAGAAGAATTCAAGTTGCTTAATATGCTTCTATGCAAACAATACTATCAAGCCACAGGTTTGGTAAAGGCATAATATTACTAGAAATACCACTAATTACTCCACACATAGTAGTTAGGCCAATTTTATAAGCCACTTGAAAAGGGAGAAGTCCATGTTAACTTGTTTTATAGTAATTACTTACAAAATGATGGGTTCTCTGCTGAATTTGTTTTTATGGCTGTGACAGCCATATATCTCAACAATAATCACCACAGTGGTCTACGCACATTACAGTCTCACATAAACAGAAATAAGAATAAAATATCCTCAGTCCACTTATTCCTAAACAATAAAGTGTGCTCTACTAGTGAGGGAGCAAAGGTAATTACAAATGGGCGTGAACCCAAGGTGTACCAGCTCTGCAGAAGAGATTAGGGAAGAAATATCAGCAGTAGTCACAATACCAAATAAAAGAGATGGTAGGACAGAACAAGAATCTGAATACAATCTTCCCAAGTGAAATTCAACTTTAAAAAACACACAACACCAAACACCAAGAAAACAACACACCACACACACACTGTTACTCAAAATCTCACTGCATCCGTACTCCTAGTTTTCTGCCTCAGAGCACTGGCATATTGTCACACTTTAGTATATGCAGCAAGAGCTTAAATACATTCAGTGTAGTTTTGGATAGGAAAATGGTATCTAAATATTCCTCATGCTTTCAAATTCTTGCTTTTTGGATATGATAAAACATGTATTAGATTAATGTGATCTTTTCTTTTGATTGCTTACTTCTTTTTCAGGGTACAGGAAAGAAGATTTACTTTTATAGGGCAACCCAACTAGCTAGCAGGAATTTTCAAACCAAAGCTGTATGTGAACTAGACTGGCAATAAAATGCCTAGAAATGATCCTATAGGTGCTAGACAAAGTCTAGCTTGTATTGGTGACAAACCAGGAAGCTGTGTATTCTGTGAAGCTACAACTTCAGTAAGTCATATTCAACAGTGATTAGATTGCAAGTGTATCCTTATTACAGTAAAGCAACTGCTATCCAGAAAACATACAGAAATCAAATTCCATCTCCTCTTTCCACAGCCAAAACACTAAAACAACAAACCCAAATTTATGCTTTATTTTTATAGGAAAGAAACTTTAAAAAAGAACAGATTTACATTAAACATCAGAGACAACAAAACTGGTTTTGAAAATTTAGACATTAAAGGAACTCACTTTGCAACACGGATTACGACCCGTTTTTTGTTAACAAATAAAGTGGCTGAGAAAAACACAATTGCATTTCTGAGTTATCCCACAAGGTACTTGAAGGTTTCAGTAGCTTTAAGAAAAAGATCTAGACATTCATATGAAGACTTGTTCTTCCCCTCCTATCTGCCCCTCCGGCGTTTTTTAAGTCCATGCTAAGTATTGAATTCATAATTCTGGCCTAAAACTAGTCTCTCCAAAATCATAGATAGCAAATGCACTGTCAGTAGTCTCTGAAAAAAATAGGAATCTTAAGTGACAGTCACATACTTGAAGAGCTTCAAAATTACAATAAAAAGATTGTTATATGCAATAGAGTATAAGGATTAGAAACAGCAGGGCACCAAGGAACCTTAATAAACAAGGAGGCATTCTTTCCTCTTGAGTATTATTCTGTAGAAGTGTGGGACAAAAATTCAGGTCACAGTAGTGACTCAAGATGCTCGTTTTACTTCCACCCTCCAAAAGGTTTCAAGGAACTTACGTGATCCAATCATTCTAATCACTCTGACAGACAACGTTATATTGTTTGTCCTTATGATATAGAGCAGCAGTACCCCAAAAAGCCCCAAACAAAACCAAAAAACCTACTAAGCATGACAGTCCAATTGTTTTCAAACTACATGTTGAAAGTTCATATGGCGGCCAAAAATACAGATTTAGATCTTTGTAGTTAGTTCCAATCAGACATTGAAACATAAAATCAGAGGTCTCTACAGACATGAAACAGTCCCTTCCCCATATTAAAATATCAGGTATTGGCTGAGCTAGTCTAGTTGCTTAAATGATTTGAATGGTATAGCGGTTTACTGATAAAAAAAGTCTTCGCACAAAAAGAAAACCCAATTAACATATTTCTCCAGTTCTCATACCTCTTTCTTCTTCGTGCTTTTTGGCTGAGGCACTCTTAGGTCTTCCTCTTCCTCGTCTGCTATGATCTGAATGGCTGTTAGACCTGGATCTTTTTCGGTTTTCTAAGTCTTTATTTACTGCAGAATTTATCTTCTCTCGCTTAACTCTCTCTGTCCGTCTCCTTTTGGCCTCACTCTTGTTTTCTGTGCAAATGAATAAAGATGGTATGATCTAGGGTTGTTTTCATCTTTGTTCTTAATTTACTCTTAGTGCTTAACCTACCCAATCACCTTTTTTCCTTTAAATCTCTTAGCAAAAGTGGTTAGATGTAATTGTTCTGTAAAGGCATAGACATCTGCATGATATCCACGCAGAAATTAAGGTGTCAGGTCCAGAATGACACTTCACTTTTTGATTACAAGGATCAAGCTTTTGGTTCCTTCAAATGCATTTTGCAAGAAGAGACATTTACTATTATACAGGAAGTTCAGTTTCCCATGCTAAGATGGGGAAAAACTGTACAGATTACAGCTATCAAGACAGCCCACTGCATTTGTTTCCACTAGCCAAAAGAAAGTAGTTTATCATATAGGCAAACAGCAAAGCACTTCATCTTCTTTTGACACTAACAATGAAATCACTCCCACTGCTCTCACAAATCAAAATGACGAGCCAACGATGCTGTCAGTAAATGCCACATTACACAGCATGTGTCCCACCAAATCTAGTCTATGACAAGGCCACATAATGCTGAACAGGTGTATTGTTTTCCTACACACCACAGTTAAAAAAAAAAAAAAAGAGTATTTACATAAGTTTTGCCTAAAAGTATGGCTTAATGAGCTCGGGTACTGCAAATAGGCTAGTTGCACATTTGCAGCACTGTTCTGTAGTAGCTATATTGTTGAAAATACTGGAACAACATTTTCTAAAAAAAGTTGCAGTTACCTTATAAGCACAATATAGACATACATAGTCTCCCACTATATTTTCCCCAGGAACCGGTTTTCTTTTGCTGCATTTGTTCCATTAATCTTGTATAGGCACAGGGTTCAAACTGGACAGCAGGATAACTTATCACTAATTTTATTACAAAATATATTTCACAGTATCACAAAAAGGCTGAGGTAGCAAAGGACCCCTGTGACCAATCTGTCCAACCCCCCTGGCTCAAGCAGGGCCGCCAAGAGCCAGTTGCCCAGGACCACATCCAGGGGGCTTTGGAGTATCTTCAAGGACTGAGACTCCACAACCTCTCTGGGCAACCTATGCCAGTGATTGGTCACCATCAAAGGGAAAAAGTGTTTCCTGATGTTCAGAGGGAACACCCTGTGCTTCAGTTTGTGCCCGTTGCCTCTTCTCGTGTCACAAGGCACCACTGAAAAGAGCCAGACTCCACCTTTACACACTTTGTTCAGGTATTTATATACATTTATAAGATTCACCCAAGCCTTCTCTTCTTCAGGCTGAACAGTCCCAGCTCTGTCAGACTTTCATCAGAGGAAAGATGCTCCAGTCCCTTCATCACCTTCATGGCCCTTCATTGGACTCTCTCCAGTAAGACCATCTCTCTCTTGTACTGGGGAGCCCAGAACTGGACACTACTCCAGATGTGGCCTCACCAAATAGAGGGAAAAGGATCCCCTCCCTCGACCTGCTGGCAACACTTTCGCTAACACAGCCCAGAACACTGTTAGCTGCCTTTGCTGCAAGAGCACACTGCTGGCTCACGCTCAACCTGCTGTTCACCAGGACCCCAGGTCCTTTCTTGCAAAGCCACCTTCCCACAGGGTGACCCCCAGCACATACTCCTACATGGGGGTTCTTCCACCCCTGGTGCACTGCCTACATACAAAGCCAAATTAAACAAGAGCTCTGCTCTACCAGATTATGGCCTTCAGCTTCATTTAATAACTACTTTATCAACAGTCAGGGAGAGGGAAAGAAAATTGAGCAATACTTCCCAGATCTCACAGGCATTGCTTAACCTCCTCCACCTTGAAAATTCACTTATCTAGCACAATATCATGTAACTCCTACAAACTGATAAACTATAAGTATCCTTCAAAATATCAAATACTTACTACATTTTGTAGGCCTAGTAGGTAATTTTGAAGAGTAGACACTATAGATCAGACACTTTTTTTTTGTTTTTTAGCATCTTCCATGACAGATGCTTGTTCTGACTAATTCCTATTAGGACTGAAGGAAGTGATAAAAATGAACACAAGGAGAATGTTAATCACGCCAAAATGTGCATTCAACTGACTTCTTACTGTGCCCATCAACAACAAAAGACATACAAGTTAGACGCAAAAAATACACTATTTTTTATTTTAGCCCACGAAGAGAGAAGCAAGACCCACATGGTTTTAGATTCAACATCTACCAATTTTTACTTTCCAAAAACCCAGCTTCAGTCAGCATGCACTGGGAAATCTAATCCCTTTGGCACCTCTAGGCATAGGTTTAAGAGAAAGCTTCCTGTAAGGAGCTGTTTTGCACAGTGACCACTGAGCACAGCTAAAATACACACAGAATAAATGCCAACGTCACAAGTGCAAAGGAAGTAAGACTGAAAACACCAGCTTTTTCCACCCCTTAAAATTCAAGAGAAATTAACGTTTCAAGTCTACCATGCACAAATTCAAGGGAAAGTGCACTGACAATAGTCAATTTACACAGAGAAACACTCTACCCTTTGCCATGAAGAAATAAGGGGGAAGAACTGTTGTCCCTTTCTTCTGGTCTCAAAGTATTACCTGTGATGGGTGGTGATCTCTCAGCACGTTTAGCATGCAAGAGTTTTCGACTAATAAATATGTAGCCACAGGGACATGATTTACATGCAACAGGAACCTGTGAAAACAAGAGACAAATATTTCAGATCATTTCAAATTATGACAAAATTCCTGTCCTATGAAGGAAAAACCTAGTATCTTGCATTTTGTCCTCAGAGATACCACTTCAAACTCAGCCTGTACTGCAACTATGCCCTGTGGTATTCTACAACTGTATTTAAATGTAGTAAAAACAGGCTCTGCTTCGAATCACCCACCCAAGCTTTTTCTTTATGCAGTTGTTAGAAATCAAGCTTGAGATGTACAGCTGTTGTGACCGCTTTGTACCACAAACCCTTTCCCCTGGACTGTCAGGAAGGGGGTGGGGGAAGGTGGAGTGCACTAAAACAAGGGTGAATTAGAATAGAAATACAATTTCTCTTCAGTGCTCTCAAGTACCCCCAGTCAAATCAGTCTGCCATTCCCAGTTTTGCCTCCTTTGTTTACTTCTAAAAAAAAAATTTAAAGAAAAAGTATGAGTTAAAACTGTCAGTACATTCTGAATACATTCACTTTCAGAAGCATTTGAAAGCAACTCCTTTAGAGAGCAGGAGCAGCTTTAAACAGGAGGCACAATAGAGCCCGAAGCAAAACAGATGTATTTGTACCACACTCTACAACAGCATCGTAGACAAGGCTGGGTGGTTACAGAAGGACCTAGTTAATTCAAAATGCAAATAACCTACCACGGCTAGTCAAAAGCTGACTGCAGGCTGAAGGAGTTTGAGAGACTGGAGTGTTTTTTCTGATCAGCTAAGGAGTCAGAAGCAGTACATTCCCCCAGCACAAGTCAATTTAAAACAAGAACAGAAAATCTGGAAATGCCACACTTACACAAAAAATTACAAAAGAAAGAAAATTCTTACTCTGAACAATTAAAAGAAGTGATGCTGATAAATTACAAACCTCATTACCTTCACTTAAAGCCAAGATATTTCGAGATCTTTTAAAGTAGTAAGGAATGCACCATATTGCTTTGATTAGGTTTAAGACTGAAAACACAAATCAAAGCAAGTTTAAACAGAGATCTGGAAGAGATTAACATTACACACATTAGAGTCAAGTCATGTTGAAGCACAACAGTGGGGAAAAAAAGCAAGAGGTAATTTTTCAAATGTAATTCTTTAAGACAGGTCGCTACAAGTTTGCCAATGTCTGCTGAAACAAACAGGAGTACAGAACCACGACTGCCTGCTCAATTTTACTGGACGTGCAGAAGAACTAAGTTCTAATATTCTACTGGCCAGGGAAAAAACCTGCCAAATTAGTACATGAATTTGTAAAGGGGAACTTAACTGCTACTCAGAGTAAACAAATTATTTTGCTTTCTGTAGCACATCTTAACTCCTGTACTTCACCCTATGAACAGCTTACAAATAGCCTTTTGATACAGGTTTTATGTAACTAGAGACTTTTTAATTCCCTTTATGGAGACACTGACATAATAAAACCAATTCTAATCAAGGTTTACTGAACCTTAAAGCTCAGAATTTAGCAGACTTGTGTACATGCTTAGCTCCTTGTTCATATGTCAGTATAAGAGTACTAAAAATCACTATCTAGCAGATAGTTTTTACTGTTAAGGTGATATGAGAGTTCCATTTAAACCCATTTTTGAACACCTGGGTCTTTCCAAGAATTACGTCTCCAGGCTCAGCCTAAAAAAAAATGGTAAAAACCACCCAAGGGGATTGGAACAGACCCAGTATTTTTCAGTGAACTTAACTGTGTGTAACAGAATTATATTGTTCTCACGTTACAGGTTTGGCATGTAGGCGTGAGTGCCACAGCAAGGGGCTGGGGGGGGTGTGGGGTGTCTGGGAGGTGGGGGGTGGAAAGAAGTAAGATTAGGTGGGAAGGGGCTTATTCACAGAAACATATCAGTTATCCTTTGAAGGCCTATACTGATAATATCCTGTAATATAATTAAGGCAACATAGTTCTACAAACACTATTTTACTCTGTTTAACATTTTCCTAACCAAAAAGAAATTGAGTTTCTCAAAAAAGAAAATTTACCTGAAGCTAAATTAAGAAGCAATAATTATTTCTTCTGAGTGACTGCAAGTACTTCAGGCTCTCTGGTTTAATGGGGCCATGCTTTAACTGTAACAATATCATCAAAAAACCGTTTTTCTTTTTAAAAAGTCTAATGGCAACTACATATCATCTAAATTACAACAAAAAAAGTTTAAAAGCCTAAGAAGTGTTACTCCATATTACGCTCAAGTATATGTGGCTAAATATTTCCATGCATGCCACTTCTAGCGAAGAAATCAGAAACAAATGCAGAGCTCTTGTTTATGGAAAAATTTAAGAGACGCTAATACAGGACACAGCCACTTAAGAGTCACACAAGAGCTTCCCCACACTCTGCAAAGGGCTAACTTGTACTGTAGGCTTTAGTTCCTTGTCCTGTCTCAAACATTTGGCACTGGAAAAAAAGGTCTTATGAACAATGGCTGCACTGGGGCAGGATACATATGCACATTAATTCCATGTGAGCCACAGAAGAGTTGCTAAAAGAAAATATACATTGACATATGCATATCATGTGCTTTAGTTTTAAAGCACAGAACAAAGTGAAAGTTTCAGCATCAGCTTAAAAATAGTGTTTGCTTACTTGCTCTTCCTATTGTTGGTGGTGTGACATTCCCTACACTCATTTAAAAAGAAAAAAAAAAAGCAGCCAAAACCCAAAAAAGCCCCTCCACCACTCTCATACTCAACTTCTCACTCATTTTAATTTCTTCTTTCACCAACTGAATAACTAGAACTTGTCACACAATTTATTCTCAGAAATAGTACTTTAATGATGTGCTTAACATGTGAGCATTTGCAGTGCTTCCATCTATTGCTTAAAACATGAAAAGATGCCCCCACGCAGCTTAACATTCCAGGACAAGTAGAAACACTATAGAAACAAGGCAAGTCAGAACAAATAAAGATTTTTTTTTTTAAAAAAAAGGTAATCTTACAAGAAAAACGTCATGAGATTTTTTTTTTAAGTGTAGCTAAAATAGTGTACACCAGTCAAGTTTCAGGATCAAATAACAGAAATGTGTTTCCCATGATTACATGTAAAAGCCTCCCCCCCTACCCTGAGCCCCACAGCAGCTTTCTGCAGTGCTGTGCTATTGTTCCAGCAGAGGAGCACTGCTGTAACAAACTGGCCTATTTTTAACAGTAACATCATTACCAGGAAAGAGGGTAAATGAAGACAAGCTCATGATACAGTAACGGTGAAAGTCTGCCATTGTTAATGTTCAAGTAACTCCATTTTGCACACATGACAAAACTGCAGTGAGACATAAACAGTTCATGTATACATTTGGACTACATGGTCGAAATTGCAGCAACGGTTTCAATTGTGCTGTTTCTAAACTACTTCACGAGAAAACAACACAACCGAACACTCTTCCGACTAGCTTTAGGCACATCAGTCATCCAAAGGGCAACCTGTGTTGTAAAAATTACTAAATCAATAGTATTTTTAATGAGTTACTTAGTTACTAAACAATACCAGCACATATACAATTCTGTACGTCGCACAGAAATCTTTCAACACAACTATCACACTACTCAGCAAGAGGAACACGGTATTTAATCCACATTCCAAGCAGAGGCTGCAAAAGCAACCATTATTTACATCGTATAAACATTGCTTCACGGCGGCACGGAGACAGCTGCATTTCCCCCTCCTCCCTCAGAAGCAAACAGCTCAGCCTGCAGCCCCTCGCACCGCTGCTGCAAAGGCGCGATGCGCGGCGGCGGGCACCGAGCTGCAGCCCCACCGGCACCCGGCGGGGAGAAAAGAGGAAGCGGGGCTGCCGGTGCCCACGCGGGGCCGAGCTGGGCGGCGCGGCGCGGGGGGCTGCCCGCGGCCCGGGGCCCTGCGCGGCGCGACCCGCTCCCTCAGCGCAGCGCTGGCCTGCCCCGCCCGGAGCCCCCCGTCCTGCGCTGCCGCGCCCCCCCCGCAGGCGCGGAAGGTGCGCGGTAGGTGCGCGCTGCCCCGCGCTGAGCTGTCGCCGAGGCGGGCGGAGCCAAGAGCCGCCACCGGGGGCTTCAGCCCAGCGCCCCCGCCGCGGCCTGAGCGCCGGCAGCGGGAGCACCTGTCCCCGAGGAGGTGGGCGCCGAGCCCGCCCGCCCCAGCGCGCCCCGCCGGCCTGCGCGGGCAGAGGCAGCGGGGCCGCCGTTTGCGTCCCGCGACCGCCAATCGCCCTTCCCCGGCGGGGCCGGCCCTCGAGGGGAGCGGGCCCGGCACACGCCTCACCTGCTGGTCACACTCAGGGCAGGACTTGGTGGCCATCTTCACTTTCTTGGCCCTGCTCGAGGACATGCTCGCTGCTGCTGCCGCTGCCGCTGCCGGAGCGCCGGCGGCCCCGCCCCGCGGCGGCCGGGGAGGGCAGGGGCGCGGCGCCAGCCGGGGGGAGCTGCACAGCCTCCGCGGGCCCCGCCCGCCCCCGGCGCGGCGCTCCGACAAAGGAGCCCGCTCCGCTCCCCGCTGCCGCCCCCGGAGCGGCTCTGCCCGCCCCGGCGACGGCGCAGCCGGGGCGGGGCCGGCTCCGCCGCCGGATTGGCTGAGCGCCGCGCACCGCCGGGGCCGCGTCACGGCCGGGCGGGCGCGGGGCGGTAACGGCGGCCGGAGCCGGGGGGTCCCCGCGGCCGCCCGTCCCGGGCACGGCTGCTCCGTGTCGGCCCCGATCGCCCCTCGGGCAGCGTCCCCCAGACGCCAGCCGCGTGCCGCTCTGCACGTCTGCCCGGCCTCCGCTGCACCCCAGGCTGTAAGCGACGGGGCAGCTCCTTTGTTGCCTTCCCGCTACCTGTGCCCCATCAGCAGCGCCAGCGGGGTGAGGTTACCCCGAAACGCACAAGCAGTCAGGAAGTTTCAAATACCGTTTTTCTGGTTCTCAGCGCAGCTCAGAAAAAGAAAAGACTGAAGTTGAGGGGGAGAGTTATCACCTGCTCCTCCTTTATCTTTGGGAGCCTGATGGTTCAACAGTCAGGGTATTCAGTCATGCCTCTGGAAGTTGTTATGCTTGTAAATCTGATGTTTTTAACATTGGTATGTTAATTTTCCTGTCACTCCCATCTAAAAATATTAATAGTGTCACAAAAGCTAACTGCACTTTAATGTTTCTCGTAAAATAAATTTTTAAAGACATATAGCAGCTAGAAATACTCATTTCAACTCCAAAATTCCTTCGGGATATAGCTCCTAGATGGAAACTCCACATCAACATGCAAAAGCTTTGTATTCCTACAAAATGTTTATATCTGAATCATCTACCTGAGGAGTTAAACAAAGAGGAAAGTGATAATGACAGTATTGCAATTAACAGGAGTTTGGATGATTTTTAATTTGTTACTACAAAAGGTCTACAGCAAAGCCTTAACAGAAAATTATTTTTGAAGATTACTGTTTAAAATAGCCTCAAGTACAGCTGCCAACAAATATTAAAGAACTGTACCAGAACTGTAATGCTTTCACATGGGTAGCAATGAGTACATCTGTGAGGCTGGCTCTGGGCCCAGTATAACAGAATTTTTATTTTATGTTTGCAGTTCAGTCTTCAACTCCATTTGCTGCACCTACGTATTGAGAAAAAACATTGGAGGAAAGGCAGTTTTAGTATGACTTTTGTCTATACTTATCTTTCAGGGAAACTAACCTAGAAGCAGTTTGGGGGAAACTTTTTTTATAGTGACCTTTACAGCTATTTAAATGTTAATACTGTCTACTAGCTCATTACTAAGTTACTTTGATGCATTGGGTCAGTTCTTGGTGGACAGGACTACAGAGAATTTATTGATCTGCTAAGACAGCCCAAATAATTTTTCCCTAGCAGGCAAATTAAAAAAGACACTTCTTCCTTCAGGCAGAAAAAGACTAGCACTTGTCAGAGTTTCTCACAGAGTAAAATTCTCCCTGCAGCTGAAGGCCCAGTGTGGTGGTCTTATCTTCCTGTGGCTTGTTGAGCTTCCCTACGGATCAGATAGCTCATGGTATCCTAGTTGCCAGGTAAGCTTGTCTAGAGTCTTACTAGTGCTTGATTTATTCAGCTTAACTGTTGAGGCTAATTTATTACAGGTTCTGTGAAACCTGAAAATGGACTTCCAGATTCATAAAAGCCACACATGCTCTAGATAAGCAATATTTTTATTACAGATTTCTAAGTGGCATGATTGCTGCACATACCTTAAAAGTAGACTGTAAAAACTGAAACATCTTCTGAAAGATCCCATAGAATGACAAATACATGTATCTGTTCTGAGGAAAATCTGAACATTTGGGAGATGACACAGGGAAGTCATGTGATATAATAAACTTAACAACAATAAAGAGGTACATCCTCACCTTAATCTTTAGAAATGTGGTTCTTCTTACTAATCTTGACAGTTAATCTTATATGACAAAGTCCACAGGTGACAAACTTAGGATAAAATTTTCCTTTTCTAAATTTTAAAAATAAATCTCTTTCACTTCGTACTAACCATGATGTCCTCAGAGCAGATCTCTCACATTTACCATTTGAAGTAGGAGGTTGCAGCTCTGGCTCCAAGTACAATCACTCCCAGTCATTTACTATCTTCTCTTGTTGACAACCTATCTCTCTGATTATCAGGGGCAGATCTCAAATTAGAGCTCCTCAATAAAACAGAGTAACAGAACGCTGAACCATGTGATTTTTCACATGCAAACTGAGGAAATGCAAGGGTTTTGATCACTTCTAATCCATTTAGGCTCCACCTTTCCCACCTGGCCCAAGAGAACATCTTCCCACCCTTCCTTTAGCAGTCACCCTGAAGAGGGAGAAGCCATCTCAAAGCATCCTAGCAGAGAGGGGCATACCTTGTAATGGACAGAGATGCCATGAAGACAGCCCCTAAATGAGGAAGATTATGATCTACATTTGTACAAAACACTATACTTCTTGTTGTATTCCTCACTGTACTTGATTTCACAAGTCTTTCATATAAATATTTATAACTTTGTGTATTCACTAGTGTACACAAGTTAATTACAGACACTGAAAAACCTATTCCAGTAGTAGACCAGCTGTACTGTTTCTTTGTTGTTGTTTTGCACTCTTCTTAAGCGGATTGTTTCAATGTAAAACTGTTGTGAGATCTAAATGACCAGAAGGATCTGTGTGATAAATGGGTTTTCTACCTGTTTTCCCCCGAAAGCCCTACATCACAGCTGGCTGCAGTGGAAGCTTTTGCATTATTGCAACACAAAGGATTTTGATTTCAGGTGATGGAATAAATGCTGATAGAGATAATTGCTCCAGATAGCTTTATATTTTTGCCAGGGTAAGAAGTAAAGACAATAAAATATCCTCAAAATTTTGATTCTAAATTACTCACATAAAGCAGAAGAGGATGGATGCTTATTAAATTATTTTACAACTAAGGTTTCCACCACTGGAACACACAGTAGTTAGACTTTAAGTGCAATGCTTGCTTCATGCGCACTGTCACAAAATGAAAGCAATGCTGAAATGGATATATGAATTATAGGCAAATAAAAATAAACTCACAATATAAAGTACATACAGTCAAAATATAACTAGAAGTGGTTAAAATCCTGAATACTGATAGTGGGGAAACATCACAGAATTCTGATTATCATCCCTCCACACAAATATACTCTGAGTGATTTTCTAGGTGCTGTGGGTATCTAGATGCTGTAAGTTACAATGAGCATATATATGTAAGTATTAACTTTGCCTCTTACACATAAATGTAAGATATGAACATATACAGCTTTCTTTGATCTAGTTTTCCTGATTCTATGCCCAATGCTTCAACTATAAAACCATCCTTACTGCATTCTCATACACAAATTTCTCTTCCTGAAGACCGCAGCCTATGTTCTCAGACAGCAGTGTGCTACGACCGTTCCATGACCACTGCCAGGACCAAAGCAACAGGAGAAGCACTAGACCTCTGCTGTCTCAGCAGTGCTTGAATTTCCGAGAGGTAAATTACATTTATGCCCTAGAAAGTATCCTTCTCATCCCCAGTTTGTCATGTCAGCCCTCTCCATCCTTACTACCAATACTGTATGATGAATAAAGAATAGAGCATCATTTGCAATATTCTCTCCTGTGACAGTACAACCTATTGTTTTTTTTTTTCCATCCTTCCTCCACATGAGTCTCAGTCTCGAGCCCAGTTCCCACGCAGGCCACAAGAACATACTCTTCTGTACTTGTGAGCATCTTGGGCTCCCCCACGCGTGTGTTGTGGTTTCTGCGCAAGTACAGAGTTACTGAACTGGCTGATTTGCCAGTTTTGGTTTAGTTCTTAGTATTTAAGTTATGTCTCAGAGGGTGGAGTTTGTTTCCCTTTTCTCTCTGCATATTGTTTTCAGCCTATACCAATCCATTACCAGCAGAGGTCTTTCTCCAGAGATACACAACAACAAGACAGGTTTCTTTTTTATATAAACTGTGACTGTTGCCAAAAGCACAAATGTGTTCTATGTAGGCAGGACATCCAGACATCATTCCTGAATCAAGACCAAATCCATGCAACCAGGACCTTGAGACTACTTTTGGATTCATTTTTTTCATCTTAACCTAGAAGGGCCAGGCATAGCAAACCATAGGCAGACTCTTTTGATATTTCAGAGGGTCTTTATAACAGCAGAGGGCTCTGATGTGTGTAGTAACAGTATCTAGTAAAGAAGTTAATGAATATCCAAGAGAACTAAGGGAGATCTATTACAGTATCTTTTCTTTGTAGAGCAAATAAACAAGGCAGTGACAGCTGTTCGACTATTCCAATACAAACAAAAATATTTTCCTTATTGAATGCAAACAAGATAGTATTGGTAGCTAGACAACTGATTATTAAGATTTACCAGACATATTTTTCTTGTTACACTACTTTATTAACACGTTAGTTTTGAGATCTGAAAGTCCAAGACTATTTCTTTTGCATCATTTTAGAGTTTTTATCTAGCACTGAGAAAAAAAAAAAAAAAAAAAACAACAAATACTTTTTTAAGGGTATAGGTACCTCCTCTCTTAAGAGAGTCAATACTGTGTGGCACTTTGCAAGACCAAGCCTCGTTTAACATGGGTTTTACACTGATTTAAAATATAAAATAAGAAAGTGATGTCATTTCTCTATTTTATGAAAAGCTACACATGACTTCATAGGTGTCTATTCCTGATGGCTTCTTTTCTCTGCTGTTGACACAAGAGAGTCCAGCTGACCTGAATGGTCTGAGATCTTAGGGTTCTTTCCCCTCTGCACTGGAATACAGTATATACACCTGCCACCCCAACTTCTTCCACACTACAATATTCTGGCATGCAACTATAATTTCACAAGGAAAAAAATCCCAAAGTAGGTACAATTCACATATCTAATCCACGTTATAGTTCAAGAGTGAGGCACTTCATAAATTACATTTCTGCTCACCACTACAGAAAATTGGAAGCATTCTGCTCTCCTGCAGTAGAGTTCCCTGTGAGCTCTTCTGCAAGGCTGACAGCCTTAGACTTGCCAA